CTTGCTCCATCAAATGTACTCTCCCAACCAAATTGTGCAATAGAACCAATCAGATATATGGATATTGATTTGTGACCAAGAATGTTCAGTATAGCATGATTTTAGTGGTTAAATACTTACTACAACATGATACAAAATATTAGAAGGATTTTAAATTCAAATATCAGATTCATATTTTTTTTGAATCATTGGATAGGGAATGGCTCACTATTATTGGGTGGTAAAAACAAGATGCTAAGGAACCATAGTATAGGGCTATATATGAGCTTTTCTTGAAGAACAAGACAATCCTTGGAGTTTATTGTGAAGAAAATCGAAACTGCAAAGGTGAGGAAAGGACCAGGAAACTTCTTCGAGTGTGATAAGGCATGTCCTATGAGAATTTCATTGGGAAACCTCACTTCGTCCATATGACAGCATTGATGTTGTCCATTTAGACAGTCCCCAAAGTCAAAAATCATTTTGAAGGCTCTTGACTTGAGGCCCAGGAGAAGACCAAGACTGACATTTTAATATGCCATCACTCAAAAAGAGCACACAATTCCTCAGGGAAGGGAGAGAAAGATGAAACCACTTCCTGAGTGCGTGGATTCACATGGAGAAACAAGGGCTTCATATTTTGATACTTTTGTGTAATAAAGATTTCTATGATTCTGTAGAACACTTTTGACTTACCCTCATATTAATCAGATTCAGTAATGTTTGAGCTCTGATAAATCCTAAGTTTTAATTTCTATTGTCTTACACAGTAGATTTACTTCTTACTCCATGATAGTCTAATGCAAGCTCCCAGTTCATGTGAAGCTCCCCTGTGACTCTGACATCTTTAGTGTATTTATTTATTTCTTAAAATAATCATTTTATTGGGGGCTCGTACAACTCTCATCACAATCCATACATACATACATTGTATGTCAAGCACATTTGTACATTTCTTGCCCTCATCATTCTCAAAGCACTTGCTTTCTACTTGAGCTCATGGTATCAGCTCTTCATTTTTTCCCCTTCCTCCCCACTCCCCTGTTCCTCATGTACCCTTGATAAAATCCGGACTCATCCAGCTGGCAGATGGAGTGTGAGGGAGGAAGAGAATGACACGGAGAGGGGCTCTCTGACTTCACGGTGTTTGCAATACCGCAATGCCATGCCACAATGGTTCATATTGCACTGGCAAATGCAAAGCTCTGGCTCTCTTTCCTCTTCAAGAGACGGGTGAGTTTCATGCAAGAAGCTAGCTGATCTCTACCATATTTACTGGGAGAAAATATGCAACATTGTTAACACCCTTAATGAAATTATTTTCAACTTTTATTTTTAGCTTTCCCCCTGCATTTTGTAAAATAGATATAAATTAAGTTGATAATCAGATGGAAAGGAACAGGTATCCAGATACCTGGAGGGCAGTGGAGCACTCACTACAGGATAAGTTTCAAGACAGCTGTCTGTCTCTAGTGGCTCCCAGGTGCTCGCCAAAATGGTAGAAAATACACTTGAGCGGAGCCTTAGGAGGGGCCTTCGGTATGCATGGGAGAGTGCGTGTATTTATCACCTCTGATCACCTGGATCGTTTGGCTGATTTGGCCGGGTAGGGGGAGTTTTCCATTCTTCCCTCACTATTGCATTTGTTTTCTTTTCAAACCCCTTTTCTCTGTGAAAAGAAAACATATTTTCCATCAGTGGGTCAACAAAAGTTCTCTCTGTTCATAGTCTGTTTAAAACAAGTTATTCATTAGAAAAACTACTTCAGTATGGATATGTAGGTTGAAAATTCATCTTGTACAATGTAGATTTGTTAACTGAAGGTTTCATAAAGAA